AACACCAGGATCCTGTTTACCAGACACCCAGGACTTTTAAATACTAACCATTAAAACACTATCACACTACTTCACTTTTAAAAATGAAGTATCATTTGCTTTATAAAGTTTTTGAATTTTGAAACATTTTAAAAAAGTAAAACCTTCAGAACAACAAACACCAATACATACACAAAATGCAGAAAACAGAACACTCAAATGCCTTTGGCAGGTCCACACCACCATATCAACCACCCTGGAAAGAGGAGGCAGAGGCAGGTGTATAAACTAGGGAGAGTGCAAACCTTGGGGAGGTAGGCCAATCAATTTAAAAGTAAAAATCAAATTATGCCTCTGTCATCATTTCTACTAGGGTTTTATACAGATTTCATTTTAAATGTTACTAACTGTACACAAATCTTTCATAAAATTTTATAACCAAAATATTTTCTTTTACTTCCTCAAATTAAATCTGGGGAAATTAAGTTTGCAAATGAGATATATCAGTTGCCCTGATGTAAAGGAAAAGCAGTAAAACAAAGGATTTCAGATTGGGGAGTTTCGAAAAATTTAAGCAATGAAATGAGCATAAAAAAGCAACAGTTAATTACCTCTAGAGTACCTTCATGTTAGAATGGAAAAGACTCCCTATGTATGACTTCTGAAATCATAGTTAACTTTAGAGTTCATCAATCCGGTGTACTCTGCCCTCATATTTAATTTATTTGTAGATACACTTTGAAGGCTACCTAAACACTTACTAATTGGTTAAATATGCTGCCTACATTAATTCTTGTTAAAATTAAAGAAATGAAGGCCCACCTTTGTTTCCCAGCTATGACTGATATGTTTTCAAGTATTCAGTGTTTCAGAAAAATGCTGATCAGGTTCTTAGAACATTTTAAAAAATGGCTCAAAGGACAATTTACACCCCTTTCACCTTAAACATATTCACTCTCCAATTTTGCTTGACAGACTTTTCTCCTTCGGACACTCTCCCCTCATTATGTGTAACAGGTTAATTATTTATATATGTTAAATTTCCAAAGATCAAAATTATAAACAAATAATATTAAAGCATTCCTAGAAGGATGAACATTTTGATTACACAGCTCTAGAAAAGTCACTACTGAAACAAACTTCAAAGATAGCCATGGGCTTTAGTTGTCTGTTTTTTCAAATCTCAGTTAAGATAGGAACATTGCATTTAATTTAGAAAACAATCCTTGGGTAAATATCCAGAATACCATATCAAAATGTATGCAAAAATGAGAATTCTGACAAAAATGAAGGGAAAATTCCTATATTCGATTGATATTAAAACATAAACAGTATCCTCAAGTTTTAAACTGCATTGATAAAGGCAAATTCAATGCTTTATTTAGCTATAAAATATGTTTATTGAAATAGTTTGGTTTAATAAATAGACAGATATGGAATTTTATCAGCATGAGACCACACTTATTAAGTCATCTTCCACAGCTGAAAAAAAATCACTATAGAATCTTAAACAGCAAAATTAGGCATCTAAGTTTGAAATAAAAATCTTAATCTGTGAGGTTTCTCTAATTTTAAGTGAAATAAGAATTTTGAGCATATTTGATACCTTAGATTATTTCTGTAAATTAGTTTAATTTAAAATATTTCCAGACAGAAGATGTTCAAAAGGTAGTATTCCCAAGGCACCAAAAAACCTTAATACAGCCAATTCAAATGACCTATTGCGGCATGCTCCATCTAAACAAGACTCTCTAAGGAATTACAGATTTTCTATTTGTTCATTCTAAGTACATTTTCTAATTTGAAAAAGTAGTTGGCTGTGTAAAACCGAAACATGAAGTATATCTCGCTGTATGTGAGAGAGAAAAAATTTCTAATACCAGCACTTCTCTTTGGGTTGATAATACAGTAATATCTTTAAGTATCCAAACAACTTGAGTAACTCAATGACCAAATAAAACTAAAAGCAATACTTGTCCTCACTTTTGACATTGAATTTATTGACATTAGTATTTGGTTTGTCAAAGTGGCAACTATTCAATATCTAAAAGACTCACTTATTTTAAGCACAAAGCATAATTCTGAGTATTTGCAGTCAAAATGACCATCTTGAGGCTAAAAAACAATGAAAATGCAAAATAAACCTCAGAGGTTTTTATAAGTATTGACAGAATTCTGAAACCTTTGGGCAGAAGGTTATGGGGAGGGGCTCACTTCTTCATTGACAGCTTAATCTCTTTCCAATTCATTTTGATTTAACAGTGATCCATGGCATTGCTTTTTTAAGACTTCTTAGAAAGCTGTAATTGTTTCTAAAATGAGAAACCATAAGATAACATCCTCACACTATACTGATAGGATGTTTTTTGGAGGTATTTACAGAAAGGTACTGGAAAGAGTTCAGTTAGGAACACAAACTAGTATAGAATGGACTTTAAAACAGTAACTTTTATACAGCATGACAAGAGAGAACTCCCTGTATAAGAAGCCTAAAAATTCAGCTCTAACTTTAATCCACTTCTATAAAGTAGAAAAACAAAGCAAAATAAGAAATCTCAAAACCTCCACATGTCTGTGGAAACTGAATATAAGTAATTTCCATTCTAGATGAGTCAATCTCAAATAGAGGACCACTAACAATTTATACATTTTACATTTTGAAAATATTGTGGACATCTAAGACATAAGCAGTGACAGCAGTTAATGATTAGTAAACATTTCCTGTTAAACAGAAATAAATTCAGCTTAAAAGATGCAAACTGATAGGTCTCATGATTTTAAAGTATTTTCATTTCCAAAGTACAAAGTTACAACATATGTATAGGATGGACTTTAATGGATGTCTATGTAAACGTTTCCATAGTCTTCATGTGTGTGCTCCAGCCTCCCCAGAAATGTCTACTGCTTACAGTGTTAAAGAATCTTCACCACTCTGCCCGTAATTTTCATTCAGAAGTCCTCAGTGTACCTGAAGCCAAACTGAATAGCAGGTATTTCACAAAATGGCTGTAAAATCCCATTATGGGCATGCATGGCTCTTTGATCTCACTGCACAAAATTCATAACTGTTCAATCATGCTATACCATCACACCACACACCTTAAACTATTTCCATTTTTCCACAATTCCTTCCAAAATCAGCTTCCAGAGCAAAGCAATGTAACATGAAAAGTTTCTGGGAGGGCTTGTTATATAAAAGAACAGCCTGGATGAAAACTAAAGCCATACACATATCCATCTTCTACTGAGCTAGTTTATCCCTCCTCTCCCTCCTTTGCTCCTAAACGTGGGTGCACTTGAGTAATGGAAAGAGAAGGCTCTTGCATCACCACACACTCCCAGCACTTTTGCCTTTGGTCCTTTGACAGTGAGTCTGTGTAGGTGATGAAAACCCTAAGAAAAGAGAAGCTGTCCCTTTAAAATGCCCTGCTCTGTCCCATATCCCACGTGGAACCAACATCAGCAGCACTTTCCCACTAACATCCATGTGATGCAAGAGGCACCATCCTTTTCTATACATAAAACCAGAAAACTTCAGTTCAACATTCCTTAGTGAGGGCGAACAGGTGAAGCAAACGTGTCAGGAAGGGAGAAAGCAAACAACTCCCCACCCCTCCCCAGAAGGTACTCCAGCCTTACCCTCCAGTCTCTCTCCAGTCTCTCTCCCCCTCCTCTGGAAAGCCCAGTAAAGGAGAGGAGGCAGCCACTAACAAAACCTGAGGCAGAAATGCGACGAAAATGCAATCTGAAGCGGGAAAGGTTTATTCTTCCAATCACACATATTAACTCTATTAAGAAAATGGCATCACTTTTTTTCCACCAAAAAAAAAAAAAAAAAGAGCAAACCCCGCAAAGATCATTAAAAGGGAGCTATAAAATAGCAAATATCGTGTTTATCTTATCTCAGATCAGTCCACACTACCAATAAGTTTAGCAGTTTCAGCACTACCACCTCCCCCTCCCTCCCCCTGCTTCTCTTGCATCGGATTTTCACGTTTTCTCATTGTCGGTGGAGTTATAAAAGGCTTTTGCCCTTCGAAAGTTTTAAAAAATAAATAAATATTAACTCCTTGGTCCCTGCAAAGTTAAAATGGACTTCAGGGGAAAGGCGGTTCACACTTTTACCTTCAGCGAGAAAGGGGGGAGCATCCCGGATTTTTAGGGATTTTTTGCGATTTTTTAACAATTTTTATTTGGTTATATGCCTGAGTTCTCCCTCCATTTTGGTTGTTTATGATACTGACAACAAGCTGTCCCTGCTCGGTGCCGATCTCCTGCTTTCATTTAGCACCCCCTCCCCCTACGCCCCCGCCGCCACCCGGCGGGGCTCCCGGCGCCCCGCAGACCCCGCACCCCGACCCGGCTCGCCCACCTGGGCAGAGGGTAAAAACAAATGCATTTCTCCAGAAAAGAAAAATCTCTTCGGAAAAGGGGGCAAAGTTACCCCAAGTCGCTCCCAGTGCCCCCCAAATATTGCCGACCGCGGGTCTCCGCCAGGCCCTTTGGGAAGCGACCTTCCCCCGGGACGTTTTGGTGGAAAATGCGGAGAGTTTCCTCTCAAAACCGAATTTATATTAATTTTTCCCTTATTTTTCGGGTCTCTAATGTCTTCCGCTCTCGCTGCTGCCGCTGCCGCTGTCACAATATTCACAGCACCAGAGAGGAGGAGGAGGAGGAGGAGGAGGAGGAGGAGGAAAACTTTTCAAACTTTCCAGACCCTGAATAAAAGGGTTTTTTTTTTTCCCACCGACCTCACCTTCGGGTCCCCAGCCGCGTAGCCCCCTGCCCTGTCGGCAGCGACCTCGGGAGTCCTCGCAGCCCCGCCGGGCGATTTTATTTGATTTTTTATTATTATTTTTCTCTCTGGGGTCCTGAGCAGGGGCTGGGAGTAGCACAAACTTTTCCTCCTCCTGCCGCCGCCGCTGCTCCTCTGCCCCCTCGGCGAGTCCCATAATTTAAATAACCCTGATATTCCTCCCGCTAAACGCCTCCCCGCTGCCCCGGACCCCCGGAGAACTCACCGCGGGGCTTTAACATCCTCTCTCCGGCCCGTCCGCCGCCTTTACACCGCCCGCGGAATTTCTAATAATTTTTTTCTCATATTTCGGGCTGGACGCGGCGGGCCTGGAAATTGTTTCCTTACGCCTCTTTCCAGCAGCCATTGTAGTGTATGCGCTGCCCCTGCAGCCCAACTTGCAGCTGCCGCCGCCGCCGCCGCCGCCGCCGCCGACGTCGCGCCCGCCCTGCATGCTCTTGGGGCCGCTAGGAGCGGGGCCAGGCGTCTACGGCCATACCACCCTGAACGCGCCCGATCTCGTCTGATCTCGGAAGCTAAGCAGGGTCGGGCCTGGTTAGTACTTGGATGGGAGACCGCCTGGGAATACCGGGTGCTGTAGGCTTTTGCGCCTCGCACCCGATCTCTCCCTTTTGCACCCTGCCTGGTCAGGGGCGGGGAGGGGGCGGGGCCGCGCACGATGTCCCGCCTACTCTGCCCGCCTCGGCCCTCCTCCCACCGGCCGGGGGCGGGGCGAGCTGAGCCCGCCCCCGACGCGCAGAGCCCCGCGTGCTTGTCAATCTGGCAGCGGCGCACGCCGATTGGGCGGACGGCCACCGGGGAGCGGGGGCAGCATGTTGGGATGTGCGCTACTTAAGGTCTTGCTGCATGAGCCATTGACGTGTTTGGAGCTGGATACGGCCCGGGCGCGGGCGGAGTGGTGGCCGAGGTGAGTGGTCCTTGGCCCCTCCCTCCCTCGGCGGAGGCATGGGGGGAGCGGGAGGAGTGGACGCACCTGGCGACCGCGGGGACCCTCGTGTGCGGCGCCGAGCTGCCGGCGCGGGGCCTGGCCGCAGCTTCAGGCCCTTCCTGTCGCTCCTCTTCCTTTAGTTCCTAGCTGCCCGGGAAGGGAAAGGTGACCCCGGCGCGGGCTTGGTACATTTCTCCAGCCCGAGGGGCGCCGCCGCCTGTCCTGCCCTCCCACCTCCCCTCCCCTCTCCTCGGGCTTCTGAGTTCTGCTGGCCCCTGGTCCTTTAGTCGCAGGGCGAAGCTAGGTGTGTTCACCTGTGCCCGCCACCCACCATTGACATCCCGGAAGGAGACGCTGCCTCGGCTTCGCATCCTTCCCGGTTCCCTCTGGTAAGTACCTTGGACCTCTTGCCCCTGGCCCCCTGCACCCAGCAGTGGGTCTCCTGCGTGGTGTAGATCTACTTCCCGGCTGTTTAACACTCATAGATTAGGCTCTAGGCTGCCAGGGGCATGGACGTGTTCTGTAAGGTCCCTTCCCCCTTTCCTATCAAAGCTACTTGGAGAGTGGGAACGGGAGCTGGATGACAGATCAGGAACTACTTTGTAAGGACTTTGCCCTTTAGAAGATTTTAGAGTTATTCTTCAGATGTGCTGTTTTTGCAGCCCTCCCTCAAATCTTTGGTTGTCTTTCTGGATATCCTCTTGCAAGTAGTAGAGCCGTGTAACAGTTGTTCACTCTGGCAGCTTCAAAAGGTGAGTAGATAAGGCCTCTTTAGCAGAGCACTCGATCTTGCCCTTCAGCCCCGCTACTCGATGTAAATTGACATTTCCTCTTCCTGTACAGTCAACACAGGAATTCATGCAAAGAAGGTGACATTCGGAAACTCAGAGTGACATGTATTTAGAATTCAGAATAAAAAGAAATTAGATGTCAATAAACTGAAGCCGCAAACTTGATTCCGGTATTGCCTAGGCATTTTTAAAGAATGTCTGACTCGGATAATGAAAGAGTAGAATGCCTTCATAGGGATTATGAAGAATTCATAACTCGAATTCTGTCTGTGTATGGTTATTGTTGAGACTTTTCTATCTACTGTGCATGAACAACCAAGCAGAATTCTGTGAAGACCTAGCAGGGTAGATACAAAAGAGAAGGTTTGTAGATGTTCTTAGTCTGGGCTATTTCTCTTAGGAAGAGGCAAATCTGTAAAAGAAATGTGTTCTGGAGAGGAAGAGGCTTCCAGCTACAGTTGGATAGTGTTTGGAGTTAACTTTCTGGCAAGATGCTTCTATTGACCTGGACTTTTCATGTCTGTTCAATGGAGGTCATGAAATAAAATGATTATTTTGTGATTACTAAAAGTTAAAAGAATGCAGACTAACCAAACTTTTCTTCCCCCTGCAAAAGTTGGGCTCCTTTAGCCTAGGCATCCTGATCTTTGCCACAGTAGAACTGGGCTAGGTGACCATTGATTGAGAACACTTTAACCTACCAGGAGTTTATGGGCTTTGATTTTTCCTGAATATACATTATTTCCTGTACATATTTCTTTGACGTTTTGGTTGTTAGCTTTAGCTTTTAATGGCAGCGCCATCTCTCTAGCCCGTTGTAACGTATTTCTTGTAGAATTATCTTGGGCAAGGAAAGTTGGAAACATTTCATACAAAACTTCTGACTGGGTTATAATGGCCCACTTGGGGTTTGTTGTTGTTGTTGTTGTTGTTGTTTTAAAGTCAGTGGAGTCCTGTAAATTATACCATGCTATTTTTCTGGCTTCTACTTGATCTTTAGGTAGAAAAATGTTAAACTAGAACAGAATTTGGGAGTGTAAACCAGATCAAATCCTTAAGCTTACTGCAGAAAATTTTAAGATTGTGAGTGGGTGGCTCATCAATACATTAGCAGTGTATTGAAACAAAAACATCAAAATCACTTTGAAATAATTGTTATGTGACTAACTTTTTTTTTCTCCTTTAGTCTTTTTATGATGTTTCTTTGAAGAGCGTAGTCATGCTAGTTTTACTGGAACTTGATTTTGGAAAGCAGTTGTCCTAGAGTATGACTGATACACTTTGTGAATATATGATTTGACTTGGAATAACCAATTGACTCCTAGGGAACTGTGATCATCTTTGATTGGTAAAGACTTGAAATAAAACTGTATTTTTAAGACTTGAGTTGGAAAAGTTTTGAACCACAGTGGCATTCCCTGACTTTCTAAAACCCAGGGAAGTACCAATAGGAAATGAAATACATGGTGTTACTGGAATTAAAATTTTGATTGGTTTTTAAATTATGTTTTTTTTAGAATTATCTAAGCAGGTAACTTGGTGTCTTGGCTATTCTGTTGTTGGCTACAGAGTAGATACTCTGGTGCTGTAGTTTGATCAATATTTTCTCTGTTTACTGTATCAAATTATTACTTTTTTGAATGATAATCAGTGTATAAAAAGTATTCTTAGGGAACTGCAGAGATGACTCAGCAGTTAAGAGCACTGGCTGCTCTTGCAGAGGACCTTTGTTTGATTCCCGGCATTGAGATGACAGCTAACAACCATCTGTAACTCCAGTTCAGGGGAATCCGATGCCCTCTTCTGACCTCCATTGGCATTGCATGACATGGGTTCACTTACAGGCATGCAGGCAATACACTCATACACATAAAATAAAAATAAATATTTTGAAAAGGTATTATTAGATTTTGTTAGCTTATTTAGTTACTTAAACTGAGAAATAAGAGTAAACTAGCCAGGTGTACACACCTGTAATCCTAGTACTTGGGAGATGGAGGCAGGGGAATCGGGAGTTTGAGCCAGCCTGGACTATGTTGAACCTTTTCTCAAACAACAACTAAAAAAAAAAGAGTAAGCTGAGGTGTAGTTGGACTGTCTACCTGGATGTTATAATTAAATTTCAGTAGATGCATTTTAGTATGGCTTTTGTGTTGAGGCCCATAGCAATTCAAACAAGAGAGACATCTACATCTTTTTTCTCAAAGTAGAAGATACATGCAAAGTTCCTTAGTAGATGATCGTTGTGCCAGAATTAAATTTTTAAGTACTTGTGGGATAATGACATTTATTTATTTAATTTTAATTGAGTCATTTCCTTCTAATGTGTTTTCCTTTGTCTACCTGCAGTAAGAAGACAGGATGCCCTTGTCAACAAGACGACTGAGAGATCCCGACATAAATCCTTGCTTGTCGGTAGGGTGGTTTGCTTTTCATTTTCCTGAGTGTTAACTTGGGAAAACCAGTCTTCTAATTTTGTGGACATCTTTTTTCTGCAGTTAATAAATAAAGTGGTGTTCTGTGAAAAAATGTTCCTGGCCAGTATATTTTATTTCACTAGAGCATTTCAAAATGATCATATGTAATGAACAGATTCTTTTTATCGGTTTTGCTTAATTATGAAATAAGTGTTTGGTTGTCACTGTAGATAGAACATGACAGGCTTATGTAATACTGAGGAAGATCTTTAGTACAAACATGGGAAGATGTAACAACTTTAAAAATTAGAATTTTTCATTGTAGTGATTATTTCATCATGTCTTTGAGACAACCTGGATGAAAGTCATGGGTTGATGGTAGAATTAGCTTGTTTTGAGCTTAGTGGTTTTCACAGAGATATCTTATAAACAACATTGTGTTGTAATAATAAGCTTTTATTTACATTAATTTGATACAGTTTGCAATATTGTATTGTGATTTTGCTACTTTTTTTTTATCTTTTTGAGACAGGGTCTCCCTGTACCCCCAGCTGGCCTGGAACTCTCAGAGATCCACCTGCCTCTGCCTCCCAAGTGCTGGGATTAAAGGCATGTACCACCATGCCTGGCTTTTGCTGCTCGTGAATAATACAATATAAAGGTCATTATATTGCTGCTGTGAGGAATTATGCTCCCTGATCCTGTATGAATTTTTTTTAAATGTATATTCATTATACAGTATACATTTATGGTTCTGTATAGTAAGATTTCAACAGCATAAAGCTTGTTTAGATCTTGTTTAGATAAAACCTGTTTCTTAGATTTGTAAAACAAATCCCCTGCCTGTTTCAGGCTTTCTTTCAGAGAACTTCTCAAAATCATAGGCTTCACTTTGAAACTTGTTAACCAATCTACTTCCAGTTCAGACAGCTTAAATTGAATTCCCACTGCTACCTATTTTATTTTAAACTCACCATCCTGTGTTGCTCACTTTCTTTTTGAAGTCATACTAATGATAACTATTAAAATTGCTTATGAAACCGTATACTTGCATAACAGAGTAAATGATAGCCAAAAATACGTTGAGATGAATGGTGTTAATTTAGGGTGCCTTGATGTAGATCACTTGTTCATAATTTACTTGGAATCTCAAAACCAGCATTAAGATCAAACGTCAAGTCAAAAAGAATTCTAAAATGCCAGGAGAGCTGTGTTGAAAGTTGAGACTGGCTTCTCCCTCTTGCTGTACAGCACTGGTTCTGAGCATTTTATACCTTGCTTCCATTTCTGGAAGCAAATGATCACAGTCAGTGTTTGTCTCACTTCTGTGATCAGGTATTTAGAAAACCTGGGCCCAGACTGGAAAGAAAGTCTGTTTAAGCAGAATGATTTCTGGAATAGTTAGCTATACTGTTCAGTTTTTATAAGTCTGCCCATTATAGTTAATAAAAATGAGCTGTTTCATGTCCACTTTGAGGGGAAGTGCTTCAGAAGTCTTTATGCTTTAGTCTTTTGGATCACGTTCTGCATTTTAAATGATGGCTCTCTTGCATGTTTAAGGAATCCGATGCTTCTTCCAGATGTATGGATGAAAATAATTACAACCGGGAACGGTGTTCCAGTCATTTCTTAAAGTACAAAAACTGCAGGAGATTCTGGGTAAGCCTAGATTGTGGAGATGCTTGTTAAAACTGAGTTCTTAGGCTTGACCCTAAAGTTGAGTTTTAGTCAATAGCCCACAGTTCTATCCCAGTGATGGCCATAGGGAGATTTAGCTTGAGACCTTATCCGTTCCCTGGTATTTCAGATTGCAAGCTCTTGGTTCACTCAGCTCTATGGTATAAGAACACAGTTAATGTAATGTAGTTAGTCTTCCTAGGGAAGTATCAGCAGCCATAAAAATCATACTCTTGTTATAAATTTGGTTCTCCTGAAGATGAACAGAAAGTACAATTTACCCAGCTAACATGCATCTCATCAAGCTTCCACTTCTGTCTTCTTTCCCACGGCCATTCATGGTTGTTAAAGTGGCTCCATTTTTCTCAATACAGTGATGGATGATTTCTGTTTCTCTAAGTACTGGATCCAGCTATGTCCTTCCCTTTTCTAATGGACTAGTAGTTTCATTTAACAATTATGCGTAGCTTTTGTTGGTAGAGACTCTTGTGTGCATGCTTACATGTAATACCCCCTGTCCCAACTCCTCTTAACATTATCTCTGTGGCAATAATCACTTCAGTGTAAATGTTAATAGTTTCAAACATTTATATAGTATTCCAGAAACAGATTTTGGATTTTTAAAATTTGAGTTTCAGAAATTTTCTTTTTGAGGAAGTAATAGAAAATTACTGGCAAATCATTAGTATTTAATACTTGCTGATTTTTGGTTTCTTTTATGCCTATATATAGAATTCTATCATGATCCAAAGAAGACAGAATGGAGTTCAGCCATCTATGCCTACAGCAGCAGAAAGAGATGAAATTTTGGGAGCAATGGGAAAGATGCCCTATTGAGTGTTTGCATTAAAATTGTTTCTGTAACTTGAAACTGATGGATGCTCTTTACAAATGATTGTTGTAATCTTTTAAGACTTAATTGGTTTCATCCAAGACAGAACTTAAGTTCTACAAGGAAAGACAATTCAGTTAGCCTTAAATCTGTAAGGTTTGGGGTCAGGACTGTGACAAGGATATGTCTCTGCCATGCTATTTTCCTGGAAGTAAGGGACTGTTGGAAGAGCTCTAGGAATTGAGAGCTACTGGGTCTCAGAAGAAACTTAAGATGTGAACAAACACAGACAAAGATAGTGTTTCCCAGGGAAGGAAGTGATGCAAGTAACGCCATGTGAAAGAAATGAGGACTGTGGTTGAGTGTTGGAATAATGTTCTTGTTTTTAAATGGGTGATGTGTGGTGGGCCTCCGACCCAAGGCTCATTCCTGAAATCCCTGTCCTTGCTTCACCCATGTATCTTTAAAGTTAGTACATTTACTAGGAGAGTAACGGGCAGAGGACGACTACTAAATAAATGGCATACAAAACAACTGTTATTTTCTTTATGGAAAGGTTTGGTTACAGGATTCTGTGTGACTAAAGTCCATACATTGTGGTTCATCTAAAGCCATAGAGCCAGTTTTTTTTTTTTTTTTAATGTGTATGAGTATATTGCCTACTTAAGTGTGTGTACCCGTGTCCTGCAATGCCTGCAGAAGTCCGAAGAGGGCGTAGGATCCCCTGGAACTGGAGTTACAGAAGGTTGTTAGCTGCCATGTGGGTGCTGGAAATGGAACCTGGGTCCTCTGCAAGAGCAGCAGGTACTCTTAACCGTTGAGCCATCTCTCCAGCCTCCATAGTGTCAGCACTGGAACCATAGTAATAGGCAAAAAGAATGGATTCTCCTAGATGTAGGCTCTCTACTTGTAGGATGAGATGCCCAGGAAGGATATCAGGGCTTATTAATAAAGGAACTCTTCTTATACCCACTACCCCTTAATATTGAATTTGTTCTTTAATAACAGTTACGGTATTCTAGAAAGTCAAAGCAAATTGTTGTGTTCTTTCTATCACCTTGTCCTGAATCAGGTGTTTTTTGCCTATTATCAGCTCTCTAAGTCTAAACCCAACTCACAAGTTCTTAATGATAGATCTTTGATTTGAGACAAGTTTTTTGCTGTGTAGTCCATCCTGGCATGAAACTTGGTGGTCCTTCTGTGTCATTCTACTGAACGCTGGGATTTCATGTGTCACCATATCTAGCTTGGCCTTGACTGTTAAATGTGATTCTAATTGAAATAAAAATGAATTGAAAAAAAAATGTGTGTTGATTGCTGTAAAAATTATACATTAAAGTTGGACTTTAGAAGAACTACATATTTGTGTGAGCATTTCAGTACATTAAAAAAAAGATAAAAAAAGTTTTATTACATATATGTTTATCTGTGACTGGAAGAGAGCATCACATCCCCTGGAGCTGGATTCACAACTGCCTCACATAGGTCCTGGGAACTAAACTTGGGTCCTCCTCAAGAGCGGTACATGCTCTGAGTACGTGCACTGTGCCATCTCTCTAGCCCAAATTTCAGTACATTTAAGCATATTAGGTGGTTTAAAATGTTAATGTCACCTCTTTACATAACTAGTATAAACATTCATTCTGTAGATACTTGTCTTAACCCTTTAAATTTTTTCATTTGCAGATTTTTACCACCTCAGCTTTATTAGTAAATACTAGATACAGACATAGTTGTCTGTATTTTACCAATGCCCTACTTGTCTGAGCATTTCTCCCTGGATACATACCTAGGAGTTGAATTGCTGGTCATGTGACTATTTAACCTTTTAAGGATCTGACAGACTTTGAAGATGGCTGTGAGAGTTCCAGTTTCTCCATATCCTCAACACCTTTGACCCTAATGGTAGCCATCCTGAGGGATGTGACTGCTTCTTAGCCTCTTTTGCTGTGCTTTTTTTCCCTGATGGTAAATGTTTCTGGAGCATCTTTTCTTGTATACATTAGCTATCTGTGTATCTTTGAAATAAAAATGTCTATTCAGATCCTTCCCCACAAAAAGCTTTATTTTCATTTGGCCCAAGGCTTGGGAGGGGCTCCAGTATGGTTCCAAAACAACCTGATGTCTGGAGCATGAGATTCAGGTGGAAGTTCTTGGTGTAGAGGAGCCCCTGGGAGGCTCATACAAGGACTCTGGGGCTTGCAGTTGTGCTTGAGGGTGAGTTGCTGGAAGAGACACCTATTCAACACACCCTAGAGGTCCACTAGCCCCCAAATTTGGTCAAGTGGTCACCCATTTCAAAGATCTTCATCTCATCCAGAAAATGGTCCATCAGAAATCATAGGTGGAGGACTGTGTTACAGGCAGGACCCAGTATGTGAGGATCCAAAAGACCTTGGTTCAGGTTCTTAGGGTTCTCCAGAGCCTTAATAGTTTTCATGGCCTCCAGGGTTCTACCCACTTAGCGTGTCATCTTGAGAAGGCTGCTGCTCATCCTGGGAGAGCACATGTGCATCTGTGGTTTTCCACCATTTTTGAAAAATAATATGTATGAGTGTTTTGCCTGCATATATGTAAGTGCACCACATGTGTGCAATGCCCTATAGAGGCCAGAAGAGGGTGTTGGATCCCCTGGAACTGGAATTATGGACCATTGTTAGCTGCCATGTAAGTGCTGGGAATCAAACTTGGGTCCTCTGGAAGAACAGCAACTATTCTTAACCTTTGAGCCATTTCTCTAGCCCCTGTATCTTTTTTTTTTTTTTTTTTTTTTTTTTTTTTTTTTTTTTAGACTACGTCTCAGGTTAGTCTCAAACTCACAGTGTAGCTGAGGATGATCTTGAACTCCTGATTCTTCTGCCTCTACCTCACAAATGTTGAAATTACAGGTGTGTGCCACAACGATGACAGCTGGTATCGCATCTTCTTGAAAGCTTGGTGCTCTGGCATTTCTCAGCTTTCAAAAATGATCCACATCCTGTGGAGCCACATTGTCCAGTTATGGCTGAAATAGTAGCCCAGAAAGGTAGTTGTAGGAGGCCTACAGGGCATATTGTCAGCCTCCACCTTGGTGAACAATTTTGGCAATCTAGGGGGTCATGGCTCATTAGAAATATGGCACTAACTGCAAAACAGACCAAAGCAAGACAAAAACAAACCAGTATTGGATGGTCCTGAAAGCCAGAGCCAGAGAGGAGATGGGTCCTAGAGGTTGCGACTCAAGAGACTGGAAGGTAATTGGAAGTTAGAATAGGAAGTCCTAAGGGATGTTCTACACAAACACTGTCAAAGCAAGACAGATCTGCAGGACCACTGAACACTCCATAGTAAGAGTTCTTTGCATATACTAGATATAATATGATAGCAGATAATATGGTTTGCAAAACTTCTGTGGGTTGATTTTTCACTTTATGGTGTCCAGATTTTCTTTAAAGGTGTGTGTGTGTGTGTGTGTGTGTGTGTGTGTGTGTGTGTGTGTGTGTGTTTGTGTGTGTGTGAGCACAGGTGCCTGCTAAGGCCAGAAGAGAGTGTCAGAGCCCCTGGAGCTGGAGTAGCAGCTCACTGTGAGACCTGGGTGCTGGAAACTGAACTCAGTGTAGTAAGCACTCTTAAACACTAGGCCATGCATTTAACCTCTCACATCCCTTCATTCTCCTCTCCCTGCCTTCTTCATGTCATTTACTATCTCCACAATTATCCTGAATAATTTTTAACTCCATAGCACATTCTCCATTAGTTTGGTCATTTTCAGTTTTATGGTCATTGGTGATATAGTGGGCTTTCATTGATTAAGTATATTTTTATATTTTTATATCTTCCAAATTTGCTGGTGTTGCTGTTTTAGTAGAGTTTTTTTTTTTTTTCCTTTTTGAATGGTACTAAGAACTGATCTGGGAAGGGATTGATCTACAAAATAATAAGAACCCCAAATAAAATCGGAATATCAAACTAACAGATGTACAAATTGCAACACAGAAACTCAAAAAATGTGAAAAGGCAGGGCAATTTGGCTTCTTCAAAAGAATGTGACTTCTCAAATGAATTAGAAGAAACTGAAATACAAAAAAAAAAATGACAGATGAAGAGCTTAGTAGTAAAGATGATCAGTGACCTCAAGGAGAAACAAAGAAGCAGACAAATTCAATGGAGTGCTGGAGAGGAAAGTCAACAACACAGGGAAGGGATCAGAGAAAAATGAGGGAGAAAATCAACAGTATGGATGAAAAACTCCACAACGTGGAAGAAATTCAGCAGGGAAATTGAGATAATAAAAGCAACCAAATAGAAATGTTGTAAATGAATAACTCAATGAATTAAGAAAAGAACATGGCAGAAAACATCATCAATAGATTCCACCAAGCAGAAGGAATGTCAGGGATGGAGCACAAGTCTAAAGAACGACATTCAAACATGAGAATAAAAGTAAGCATGAAGCATGATGACGCATTCCAGGAACGCTGAGATCTGACCAAAAGACTAAACCCAAGAATGCATGGAATACAAGAAAGAACTAAGACAAGCACTAACGGCTTAGAGAACCCATTCAATAATGTAACAGAAATTTCCCCAAATCCAGGAAAAAGGACATCCAAACATTTCGAACCCCACATAGACATGGCCAGAGAATGATCTCTTGATAACAGATAGTCAAGATGTTAAAAATACGAAGGAATGATATTTACAAAACTATAAGGGGAAAATGCCAACTTACTTAAAAAGGCAAACAAATCAGAATGACATCAAATTGTTAATCAGCAAAAAGTCAGGAATTCATGGAACCATATCTTTTTTATTTTTTATTTTTATTTTATGTGTATGAGCATATTGCCTGCACGCATGTAAGTGCACCCATGTCATGCAATGCCCACAGAGGTCAGAAGAGGATGCCAGATCCCTTGGAACTGGAGTTATGGATGGATGGTTGTCAGCTGCCATGTGCATGCTGGGAACTGAACTTGGGACCTCTGCAGGAGCAGCCAGTGCTCTTAACTGCAGAGTCATCTCTCCAGACCATTATGGAACAGTATCTTTCAAGCCCT